CATTAGTGAATAAGTTATGAGGAGGCAATAAGGAATGTAAGAGGGATGAAAGTTTGGAGACAAGATTTATTTAAATACTTTGATAGAAAATGAGATCTGGAGTAGGAATTTGCTGAAGCTGATGATAAACAGGAACACAAGGAAGGGAGGAGAGGGGAAGCCAAGAAACAGGATTATGAAATTCAGAACTTTGAAGGGATTTCTATGTTTTGTTTTTCTTTTTCTTTTCTTCTTCTTTTTTTTTTTTGCTTTATGTTTTGTACTATTTTGTTTTCTATGTATTTTTATGTATTTCTTTAAAAACTTTTAATAAATATTTATATATATATATATAAAGGGCCCCCAGTTGACTTCGAGTTGGACCCTGGGGTGGCCCCAATCCGACTCAAACCAAGGCGAGTGCCATTTGCACTGCAACCCAAAATCGAAGCAGAGCTGGATAAATTGGTCAAGCAGGGAGTTCTCTCACCCGTGGACTCTGCTAAGTGGGAGACTCCAATCGTCACGCCCCTTAAAGCAAATGGGGAAGTCAGGATCTGTGCAGATTACAAATGTACTATCAATAAGGCACTCAGGGGAAACTCATACCCCATTCCAGTCGTATCACATCTGTTGGCTAAACTGGCTGGGGGCAAGGTGTTCGCCAAAATTGACCTGGCACAAGCTTACCAACAGCTGCCAGTAACCCCACAACCAGCGGAAGCACAGACTATTGTCACACATAAAGGAGCGTTCAGAGTTAACAGATTACAATTTGGAGTTTGTGTGGCCCCAGGGATTTTTCAAGGGCTCATGGAACGCCTGTTAAGAGGTCTGCCGGGGGTCTTGCCATTTTTTGATGACGTTTTGATTGCTGGAAAAGACCCACAGGAACTGGTTGCGCGTGTCCGTGCAGTGTTGCTCAACTTCAAGGAGATGGGGTTGCAACTGAAAAAGGAAAAATGCAGTTTTGGGGTGCCAACTGTGGAATTCTTGGGGTTTAGAATTGATGCATCAGGCATCCACCCCACAGATGCTAAGATTAAGGCCATCAGCGAGGCACCACGACCACAGAACAAGACGGAGCTGCAGTCATTCCTGGGACTTATTAACTTTTATCATTCGTTCTTACCCCAGAAAGCTTCGGTAGCTGAACCATTACATAGACTGTTGCAGAAAAAGAATGTGTGGCGATGGGGGCAGGGGCAGCAGAAGGCTTTTGACTCCTTGCGAGGAATGCTGAGTAGCAGGAGCGTCCTTGCTCATTATGATGAGTCGAAGCCGCTGGTCCTGGCATGTGATGCCTCTCAATACGGCCTGGGGGCGGTGCTGAGTCATAGGGAACCGGATGGTTCAGAAAAGCCCATCTCTTTCTATTCCCGTACGTTGTCGCCCACGGAGCGCAACTACGCTCAAATTGACAAAGAGGCGCTTGCAATTGTGGCAGGAATCAAAAAGTTCCATGATTATGTGTACGGTCGCCATTTCTCCATTGAAACGGACCACAAACCACTGTTAGGGTTGTTCAACCCGAACAAGCAAACGCCACAAATTCTCTCCCCCAGAATGTTGCGTTGGTCTATATTCCTGAACGGGTTCCAGTACACCTTGACCCATGTGCCGGGGAAACGGTTGTGCCACGCTGATGCCCTGAGTCGATTGCCCCTCCTGGCGGGAGCAATGAGGATCCTGCTCCAGCAGAGCACATAATGATGCTGGAAACACTTCCGGGGGCTCCTGTAACGGCTACTGATATAGCTGAGAAAACGGGGAAAGATGCTGTTCTCTCCCGTGTGCTCACTTGGGTGGGGAGGGGGTGGCCAGGTGGTCCGCATGAAGACAAATTCAGGCCTTATGCGACAAGGCAGCACGAGTTGCCCATGCATAAGGGTTGTCTCCTGTGGGGAGATAGGGTGATCATCCCAGCACCACTGAGAAACAGGGTTCTTGAGACGCTTCACATGGGACACCCGGGAATGGTCAGGGTGAAGTCGCTAGCCCGATGTTATGTGTGGTGGCCTGGAATGGACCAGAACATAGAACAATGGGTACGAACATGCAAGGCATGCCAAGAGGTGCGGCCAGAAGTGGCCAGAGCACCAGTTCACTGGTGGGAGCAGTCCAGATCTCCCTGGAGCCGGCTGCACTTAGATTTTGCTGGGCCATTCCAGGGGAAGGTCTTTTTGGTTATCGTCGATGCATATTCCAAATGGTTAGAAGTGGCGATGGTCCCTAGCATGGCATCAGCTGCCGTAATCAAGGTGTTGAGGCAGCTGTTTGCAACCCACGGGTTACCTGAGACCATTGTATCAGATAATGGGGCAGCTTTTGTATCCCAAGAATTCAGGGCATTCTTGGCTGATAACTTCATAAGAGGGGTCACATCCGCGCCCTTTCACCCATCCTCCAATGGGCAGGCTGAGTGCATGGTAAGGACAGCCAAAGAATCCATTGTGCGCTTAATGGAGGGTAACTGGTCAGCTCGCACCGCGCGAATGTTATTTTTGCAGCATGCGACGCCGTGTACTGCGACGGGCAAGTCGCCAGCTGAGCTGCTCTTGGGTAGAAGACTGGTAACGGTGCTGGATTATGTCCACCCGTATAAAATGCCAAACCGTAATTCAAGAGCAACCCCCCAGGCTGAGACTGACACAACAAGGTATCTCGCCCCTGAAGATCTGGTCTGGGTGAGGAACTATTCACGAGATTCGCGGTGGGTGGCTGGTGTGGTCACCCAGACTAGTGGACCTGTGTCCTATTATGTGACCTTGGAAAATGGGCAAGTTTGGAAGAGACATATAGATCAGCTGAGGCGCCGGGCGCTCAGCAGGGAGGAGTCAGATAATTCATCCCTGGCTAATGACGCAGAGCTGCAAGACCAGAGTGAAAATGGCCCAGAGGTGCAGTCACCAGGGGCTTCAGCAAATGAACCAGGGTCTACTAGTCCTCAGGATGACGAGGTACAGGTAGGGGACCCTGAGATGTCTGGGACTCCATCTGTTCCTGACGAAACCCCTATAGCAGCCCCCCTACCACAGGTAACACCCAATCCAGAACCGGCAACACCTGTTGTCAGGAGATCAAGTAGAAGTTGTAGGACCCCACAGTACCTGAGAGATTACGTCTGCTGTGCTCACTAGGGGGGGAGGGGTGTTGTGTATTGAGTCAAAGGATTTTATATCTGTATTATTATTATTGTCTGTATTTGCATTAGGGTAAAGTAACTGCCTTTTGGTTCCAGAGGGTACAGCTACTATTGGTTCATTTAAGCTGCTGTATTTGGATCCTCTGTCTTATTGGTTCCCTCCAAAAGGCAGGACTGTGATTGCCTGATATTGTTCCCTCCGAAATGTATCCTTTCTAGCTAGTTCCCTGTCCCTATAAATGTAGCTTTCCCCTCCTCAAGTCCCAGTCTTGTTGCTTAAAGAAAGAAGTGTTACTAGAGAACTGACTCCCGCATATTGTGTCAGGAGAGCTGAAATCACAAACCCCACGTCACAACAGTTTCCACATTGGAAAAGTGACCATGTTCATTCTAGCACAGGATGGATTCCAAAACCAGTTGAATATGCAGAGTTGTTGGCAATTTTGTCGGAAAAAAAAATAAAACGCGTGTTAAAATATATATGAAAAATAATTGTTGCAGTCTAAACACTGTTGTAGCATTTGAATAATACCTGTAATAGTTATTACAGATAAAAATAATACTAAAATAATAATATGATATTATAATAACTATGATAATGATAGCAACCTCTGCTTCAGAGTATCTGACAAACGATCCCCAGTGACAAAGTGAGTATTGCACATGAAAGCTCATACCTTGAAAGCTTATATTTAATTGATATTTAAGGTGCCACCGGAATTATTACAAAATATTTTTTCATCTTTCATCTTGTGATTTATTATGTGTAATAGGTGGTAGTAAGAATCAAGAACACAGATAATTAAATATTTATGTATACTTTTGGCTTTGATAACAACCTGACAAGTTTTGGCAATCAGATAATAATGAATATGTGAAATATGGAGTGGATGGGAAGTGATATGTAAAGTAAGAAGATATTCTTTATTTTATTATATTAGATATTTCCCCTTTTAGTTGATTTGCTTTATAATTTTGTATTAATGGATGATAAGGAAGCTTTCTTTTATTTATTTCAATTGAGCATATAAAATTAAAAAAGAAAAAAGAATATAAATCTTAGAAAGATTTTTACCTCCCAAAGCATTTTATTTTAAAAATCCGATTTAAATTTAAAAAATCCGATTAAAAAAAATCCGATTTATATGAAAATAAATAAATAAATCCGATTTTTTTAAAAAATCAAAAGAAAGCATTGATTTTTATCCACTCTGATAATACATTTTTATTTGCTGCAAGTCACTTAGAGACCTTCAGTTGACAAGCGACTAATAATAATAATAATAATAATAATTGTTGTTGTTTAGTCGTTTAGTCGTGTCCGACTCTTCGTGACCCCATACCCGAAAAATAAAAGTCACGGGCAAAAGAGCGAACGGGGACTCGAACTCGTAGCCCTGAAAAGGAATCATGACGCTTCCTCCACCGGCCCCTCCCTTCCACCGCAAAAGCCACTTTCTGGATTGGCCCGTTGTCATGGGGGACGTCAAAGTAAAGCAGCCAATCTGCGTTACCGCGCTTGCCCCGCCCTCAGTGGGCGGAGCGGCAAGGGAGAGCCGCCGCGACGAAATCAAAAGGCTCGCCTTCCTTCGCCCGGGTTTTTTCCCTTCCCCTCTCCCCCGCCCTCTACTCCTCCTTGGGAAGTGCTCCGGCCAGACGTACGCACGCGCAGAGGCCGACATGCGCAGGAGCAGCGGGGTGCATGCGTGAAGGGCCGGCCCACCGTTTCCCTCCTCTCCCAGCAGCCAGCGCGCGCATACACCCGCATGCGCACCGCCTCCCGGCTGGGCCGCCTCCGCCTGAGGAGGCCCATCGACGCTGTGCTCCGGCGAGAAGGACGCACGCACGCGCAGGAGCAGCCCTTTCCTTTCCTCTCGCCCATCAGCCGGGCGATCCAGTACGCGTGCGCACGCATGCGCAACGCCTACCGGCTGGCCGGCCTCCGCCTGAGGAGGCGCTCCGACGCCGCTCCGGAGGCGAAGCTGAGGCGACGACGGGCAGGAGGAGCCGCCTCCCCCGGGCAAGCCCTTCGCGGGCGCTGCCATGCTCCTTCTGCCGCAGCTGGGAGGCCGGGCCTGAGGAACCGCAGCCGAGCCGCCCTCGGTGAGCAGGCCCGCCGCCGCCGCCTCCATGGCCCAGGCCGAGAAGATGGAGCTGGACCTGGAGCTGCCGCCGGCCGGGAGCGAGGGGGGCGGCCTGAGGCGCTCCAACAGCGCCCCGCTCATCCACGGGCTCAGGTGAGGCACGGGCCCTCCGTCGCGCGCGGGACCGGTGGTCGGGGATGGAGGGATGGGCCATGGCTGGGTGAGGGGAGGTCAGGGGCACCTCCTTCTCTTGGGCCTGGCCCTTGGCCACAGGAGGAATAATAATAATACAGTAATAAATAAGTTTTATTTGTATCTCGTCCTCCCTGGCGGAGGCCAGGCTCGGGGCGGCTAACATAGTAAAAACAACACAGTATGCATAAAAACAGACATCAGTTAATTAAAATTGATCTTAAAATTAATTAAGACAAGTTATAACCTGGGCAGGTGGCAATTACAGTGGTGCCCCGCAAGACGAATGCCTCGCAAGATGGAAAACCCGCTAGATGAAAGGGTTTTCCGTTTTGGAGGTGCTTCGCAAAACGAATTTCCTATGGGCTTGCTTCGCAAGACGAAAATGTCTTGCGAGTTCCTGCAGGTTTTTTCCTCCTCCCCCCCTTTTTCCCAAGCCGCTAAGCCGCTTATCAGCTGATCCACTAAGCCGCTTACCAGCTGATCCGCTAATCCCCCTAAGCCGCTAATAGCGCTAAGCCGCTAATGGGCTTGCTTCGCAAGACGAAAAAACCGCAAGACGAAGAGACTCGCGGAACGGATTCTTTTCGTCTTGCGAGGCACCACTGTATTAGGTTGGAATTAAGAGGGGTTAACACTTGCTAGTACCAACTGTTTCCACTGTTTAAAATAATGGTTATTATTTTAAAAAGGACATTGGGGTCAGGAAGGGCAGAAAGGGGGCATCACCCCCGGAGGTAGCACCGCCCCTTGGCCCTCCAGCTGCTTTGGGACTACAATGTCCATCATCCCTAGGGATAATGGGAGTTAGTGCCCAAACAGCTGTAGGGCCAAGTTGGGCCATGCCTGCTTTAAAGCATACAGTTAAAGCACAAATACAGTGGTACCTCTGTTTACAATTCGTTCCAGAGGTCTGTTCTTAACCTGAAACCGTTTTTAACCTGAGCTACCACTTTAGCTAATGGGGACTCCTGCTGCCGCCGCATGATTTCTGTTCTCATCCTGAAGCAAAGTTCTTAACTCGAGGTACTATTTCTGGGTTAGCAGAGTCTGTAACCTGCAGCGTCTGTAACCAGAAGCATCTGTAACCCAAGGTACCACTGTAAAGGATCTGGAGAGGACATTGGAATGTTGTTCTACTTTACGCTGCCTAAGGTCACAGGGAACTGGTATCCTATAGACCAGTGATGGCCAAACTTGTCCCTCCAGCTGTTTTGGGACTACAACTCCCATCATCCCTAGCTAACATGACCAGTGGTCAGGGATGATGGGCATTGTAGTCCCAAAACAGCTGGAGTGCCGAGTTTGGCTACCACAGCTATAGACGTCTGTTACAAAGGGCAATTAACCTGTATATCAGTGGGGCTTCTGTTGTTTTGTTGGCATCAGTCTGTCTTGGGAGAGAATGGAGGATTGCACCTGTGGAATGGCCTTCATAGTAGTTTCAGACGGACGGCTTCTTGTCTCACAGCTCATACTCTTAGCCAACGTACTGCTATTCCATTAGTAATTAATAATACTAACAATTTATTATTTATACACCCCATGCCCCCCAATCTGGCTGGGTTTCCCCAGCCTCTCTGGGTGGCTTCCAACTGAATATTAAAAACACAAGACAGCATCAAACATTAAGAAACTTCCCTAAACAGGGCTGCCTTCAGATATCTTTTAAAAGTCAGATTGTTGCTTATTGCCTTGATATCAGCTGGGAGGGCGTTCCACAAGGCAGATGCCACCACCCAGAAGGCCCTTTGCCTGGTTCCCTGTAACCTCGCTTCTCGCAGGGAGGGAACCGCCAGAAGGCCCTTGGTGCTGGACCTCAGTGTCCGGGCCGAATGGTGGGGGTGGAGACGCTCCTTCAGGTGTACAGGATGGGGCTGTTTATGGTTTTCAAGGTAGGCACCAACCCTTTGAATTGTCCTCGGAAATGTACTGGGAGCCAATGCAGGTCTCTCAGGACCAGTGTTATGTGATCTTGGTGGCCACTCCCAGTCCCCAGTCTGGTTGCTGCATTCTGGATTAATTGCAGTTTCCGAGTCACCTTCAAAGGCAGCTCCACGTAGAGCGCATGGCAGTAGTCCATTTCCTAAGTTAGATGGGTTCCACACAAAGTTTCTTCAGTCCCTATTACAGGTCCCAAACTGTGTCCCAAATTCAATTCTTGGGTAGTGCCCACTCTCCACTAAAGTATGGTGGGTTGCCCTGAGATACAGGCGCAAGATCTCAGTACTTGGCCTGGGGGAGGGATTACTTCTACATTTAACCAACAAGGAGTTTATCACCCATGGCTGAAAACTATGGTCAGAAAATCCAGAAAAGCTATGATACCGCCCTTGAATCCCTGAGGCAAAGATTTTGGGACATTTCACATAGCGACCTGCAATCCCGATCTTATGTAATTTGTAGCCCGGTCGCAGCTGGAATCCAATACAGGTACGAATTTCAGATATCCTCATATCTTAGGAACCTGTCCGTACCAACATATTAGTGTTTATTTACCAAGCCAGACTAAATGTATTACCATCGGAAGTGCTGAATGGTAGACTGAGAGGCATCCCTTATCAGAACTGGCTTTGTTTATGTTCTCAGGACATCGATTGCATGAAGCATATTTTACTGCAATGTGGGCAGTACAAGCAAGCAAGGGACCAACTGATCAAACCCCTTCTGGCAAATCTGCCGGGAAAATCTGAAGCGTCCCATATTAAACATCTTTTGGAGGACAGGTCCAATGATATTGCACTGGCTGTGGCAAAGTTTCTTTCAGAAGTTAAAAGAAACAAAGATCTTCATGCTTGAGACATAACAAAATGACCGCTTCGGTTTCTCTTTCTTTTGTGGTTGGCTGACATAACTGTATTATGTCCTGAAATTGTTCAATGGGTCTTTGGACCGCAATAAAGGTTGATGATGATGATGCAGGGCAGCAGTGTGGCCAGGATTCAGAATGCCACAGGTGATATTGTGCTAGCTGTTCATTGGAGCTACATATTTATATAGAGCCAGCAATATACGTGGCACATATCCGAACAAACCAAGCAGCCTCTTCCAAAGTTGATAGTCTACATTCAGATGGGAGAGAAAAGTGTGGGAAGGGAAGGATAGTCACCTGCATAACGTAATAGACGCTTTCACTTCTTTCAGTGATAATTCCCAGGTCTTCCAGCCGCACGTCTTGCGCACCCGCCGGAACAGCACAACGGTCGTGAACCGGCACAGCATGGTAAGCACTGGGGAGATCCAAAGAGCTTTCGAACTCCAGCGGTTTGTGGAAGATGGAGGCTTTGCGGGAGACTGACTGACAGGCGGCGGAGGCCCTGTTGCATTTTGATCAAAGCTGAATTGGTTGCTGGAGGGCCGAGTTTGCCTGTGCCTGCTTTAATGCTACTGTTAACTCCAGATAATAAAGGTAAAGGTACCCCTGCCCGTACGGGCCAGTCGTGACCGACTCTGGGGTTGCGCGCCCATCTCGCTTAAGAGGCCGGGGGCCAGCGCTGTCCGAGGACACTTCCGGGTCACGTGGCCAGCGTGACGAAGCTGCTCTGGTGAGCCTGCACCAGCGCAGCACACGGAAACGCCGTTTACCTTCCCGCTATAAAGCGGTACCTATTTATCTACTTGCACTTAAGGGTGCTTTCGAACTGCTAGGTGGGCAGGAACTGGGACCGAACGACAGGAGCTCACCCCGCCGCGGGGATTCGAACCGCCGACCATACGATCGGCAAGTCCAAGGCGCTGAGGTTTTACCCACAGTGCCACCCGCGTCCCAACTCCAGATAATAAACCAGAATAAACCATATTTCCATGTCACAGTTGACGTGTGTGCTGTACTATCCAATCCAAACCATTTAAACTTGGCCCTCCAGATGTTTTGGGACTACAACGCCCATCAGCCCTAGCTAACAGGACCAGTGGTCAGGGATGATGGGAATTGTAGTCCCCAAACAGTTGGAGGGCCAAGTTTGGGGATGCTTGCTCTAATATGACTCTCCTACCAAGGAGTTAACACTCTCGTGTCCAGATTGTGCTCTGGAGCATGCATACACACACACATGTGTGTGTGTGTGTGTGTGTGTGTGTGTGCGCGCGCGCGCGCGCAAGTTCTCTCTGGTGTCTCTTAATGAGCTGTATATGTCTGTATATAATACAGTGTTGGGGGGCATGCTTCCTGACTATATTACGTGGAAATTAATTAAATTCCTCTTGGCTGACTCTCCTCTTTACTTCTTGGGTACGCAGGCTTCTTTTCTGATCCAGACATCGTTTTTTTACCATCGCTGACGTTTGCACATCTCAGTTTCCCACCAGGGCAGAACTCCAACTCGAGGCCAGGCTTCCCATCGCGCCCGACGTAATCACACAAATAGAAACTGCAAATAGAAATATGCCCTGCCAGCCCACTGAGAAACTCTGCTCTGGAGCGTAGCTATTCATGACATATCTCAGGATTGAAGTTGTTGAGATTTTTTTACAGTTTTGCCCCAAAGCTGTTGAGCTTCTTTTAGGATTTTAAGGATTTTATCCAAAAGTTGTAGAGCTTTTTTTAGGCTTGATGCTGCTGAGTGCATCAAGCTTTAGTATCAGTCTCTGCATGCTAGGCTAAAGTGTCAATCATCTCCACCAGATGAACAGCAAAGATGAGAAAAATAAGTTTTGCACCTGAAATTTCACATATAAATAATGCTTCAACTCTTCTTAGCCACCAATGAAGGTGTTTTCAGGTTCTATTGTTGTTAAAATATTACCTTCCTTTGCAACAGATTTATATGATGGAGTTTGACTGCATCTGCATGAGAGAAACTGTCATTCCTCTTTCCTTTTAAGAAGAATGAATATTCTTTCAATGCTATAAAAATAAGGAGTTTTCAGGGCCACCTGCCTTGGAGTAGAGGCTGAGTGGTAGTATATTTCTCCTACATTAAAATGGGTGGAATGCATATCTACCATAATCCATAGTCCTTGGGAGGTTACAGCTGTGGAAATATTATCAGGGTGGATTTGATTTAAATCACGATTTAAACCACTAGTAAGTAGGACTTGATTTAAATCATTTTTTTACAGAAAGGTTTAATCTTGCTGGCATCCTCTTCATATCGAGAACCAGAGGGAGGTTTCCTTTTTGGAATCTTAAATTTTCAGTCATTTTTACAGTCACATCAGAAATGACTGATTGGTTCTACTATCAGAAATAAACAGATCATTGTTTCTGTTTGGACAACTTCTCTGCTGTACTTGATTGGAAGGAGAAAAATAATCATTTCCTTCATAACAATTTAAACCATTTATTTTATTAAAACAATAACATACTACATGGATCCATGTTTGTTAACTGATGTGGTTAAACTATTAGAAATACATTGAAAGATAATTATGAAATTATGGTGGGGTTTAATAAGTTAACTCTTTATATTTGGACAACATTTCTGCTGTACTTGATTAGAAGGAGAAAAATAATCATTTCCTTCATATTTCACTAAAACAAGAACATGATAGCATATGGACCCATGCTTGTAAACCATGCTTGTGGTTAAATTAATTTTTTTAATATTAAAAAAACTTCGAGTTTTAGCACACATGAAAAACTTTAAACCAGTGGTCAGCAAACTTTTTCAGGAGGGGGCCAGTCCACTCTCCCTCAGACCTTGTTGGGGGCCGGACCCACCGCCTCCCAAAAGCACCCCCCTCCGGAATGCCCTCCCCCCCCCGCTTATGCCACTCACGCCACAGCCACTGGCGCTGCCCCATCTTTGGCAGCGTCGGCGTCCCCTGTCTTGGCGGAGTACAGAGGCCATGCCGCTGGCCTGGTGGCGGAGGCAGCCTCCATGCCGCTGCTGCTTCCTTCCCACTCGGCCGCTTCCTCCTGCTCAAGGGGCGTCGCGGAAGTCAGTTTCCGCATGGTGAGGCCTCTGCACCGCGCCTGTTTAGCGCGGGGACTGACCAAGTGGGCGGTAGGGTCCTGCAAGGTTTGTGGGCCAGATTAATGAGCCCAGTGGGCCATATCCAGCCCGCGGGCCTTAGTTTGACGACCTCTGCTTTAAACGAATCCTTCTTTCCTGATGAACAGCCTTTGGACTAGAATGTCACTTAAATAGAAAACTATCTTTAGAAAGACTTTTCCTCCAAAAGCGTTTTATTTTCAAAATCCGATTTATCGAAATTAAGAAAACACCCCTCAGCACTACCCATGTATAAGATGAGCCCAATTTTAAACCTATCTTTGGGGTAAACCCCCCCCCCCAAAGACACGAAAAAATACAGTAAATTTTAAAAAAATCGAATTTTAAATTTAAAAATATTTTTTTTTAAAAAAAATATATATATAGTTGATTTTTATCCACCCTGGTGTTATTACTATACAAGTTCTGTGGGCAGTTTTTATTAACGGCTCATCTTTCCGTCTTTACAAAGTGGCGTGCCAGGTTCTTGATTGAGTGTCGGTTTTCAGCCCAACCAAAGAAAGGTAACACCTGAAAGGTCTGTGCTTTCTTCCTTCTCTCCTGCAGCTGATCTCTTCCTCTACAATTCGTATCCCCAGCAGCCGACTCCATCAGATCAGAAGGGTAAGCAACATTTCACTTTTATGGGCACTGTCATTAAAGTACAAACGTATATAAAAGTTCTTTGGAATTGGTCTCTCAATAATATCTCGGTTCTTTGAAGAAAACAGTTGTCTTGTGTGCTCCACTCCCAAAACCAAGCTCTATTTTTTTGCCTTCCTAAATGGAAAAAACTCTGGGTTTCTTAGCGAAATTTTTTTAGCTTCCACATATGGTTGTTAGAATTGGGGTCTCCATGACCCTATTCCACCTCTCCCTAATTTTCAGGAGCGCAGATTTTTCCGGGTATAAGACTAGGGTTTCCCGTGAAAAGATAATGTTCAGAATTTGGGGGGCGTCTTATACTTGGGGGCGTCTTATAGACGGAAAAATACAGCAGTTAAATGCAACTTAAGGGAAAGTTCTTGTTTGTAGGTCTGGGGTCCCACAGTGTGCATTTAACCCAGGCATAGGCAAACTCTGCCCTCTGGATGTTTTTGGGACTACAATTCCCATCATCCCTGACCGCTGGTCCTGCTAGCTAGGGATGGTGGGAGTTGTAGTCCCCAAACAGCTGGAGGGCTGAGTTTGGCGGTGCCTGATTTAACCTTTGGCTATTGCTAATTGGAATCCTCCTACTTGCATTCTAGAAGCTGAGCTATATCATCCTCATCATCATCATACTCTTGTTTAGAACCCAGTATAATGGTCTCTATATAATCTTGGACTGGAGCTTTTGTTGGGGGTGTTGTTGCTGTTAATATTTCGTACTGTATCTTTATTTGGAATCTTACATTTTACATGGAAATTGTTCTATTTGGTTGTGTACTATTGGATGTTTTCTTTATTGTATGTGACTACTTTTCTTTGTAGTTACGTATTTTTTATAGTATGTTGTAAGCCTTGAGCATGACTCTAACTTTGGAAACTCAATAAGCACATGAGATGTAACAGGCTGTGTTCTTAGATAAATAAGGTATACTATTCATAGAATCAAATTGTAAATTTCAACAGAAGTAACTCATAAAATTCAACAAACGAACAAAGCAGAAGACCCAGTGGATCAAATAATTCTATAGTCAGTTCATGCATAAGGTCCATTCGTGTAATGATCATAGAATCATAGAATCATAGAGTTGGAAGAGACAACAAGGGCCATCGAGTCCAACCCTCTGCCAAGCAGGAAACACCATCAGAGCACTCCTGACATATGGTTGTCAAGCCTCTGCTTAAAGACCTCCAAAGAAGGAGACTCCACCACACTCCTTGGCAGCAAATTCCACTGTCGAACAGCTCTTACTGTCAGGAAGTTCTTCCTAATGTTTAGGTGGAATCTTCTTTCTTGTAGTTTGGATCCATTGCTCCGTGTCCGCTTCTCTGGAGCAGCAGAAAACAACCTTTCTCCCTCCTCTATGTGACATCCTTTTATATATTTGAACATGGCTATCATATCACCCCTTAACCTCCTCTTCTCTAGGCTAAACATGCCCAGCTCCCTTAGCCGTTCCTCATAAGGCATCATTTCCAGGCCTTTGGCCATTTTGGTCGCCCTCCTCTGGACACGTTCCAGTTTGTCAGTGTCCTTCTTGAACTGTGGTGCCCAGAACTGGACACAGTACTCCAGGTGAGGTCTGACCAGAGCAGAATACAGTGGCACTATTACTTCCCTTGATCTAGATGCTATACTCCTATTGATGCAGCCCAGAATTGCATTGGCTTTTTTAGCTGCCGCGTCACACTGTTGGCTCATGTCAAGTTTGTGGTCAACCAAGACTCCTAGATCCTTTTCACATGTACTGCTCTCAAGCCAGGTGTCTTGTATTTGTGCCTCTCATTTTTTTTTGCCCAAGTGCAATACTTTACATTTCTCCCTGTTAAAGTTCATCTTGTTTGTTTTGGCCCAGTTCTCTAATCTGTCAAGGTCGTTTTGAAGTGTGATCCTGTCCTCTGGGGTGTTAGCCACCCCCACCCCCAGTTTGGTGTCATCTGCAAATTTGATCAGGATGCCCTTGAGTCCATCATCCAAGTCGTTGATAAAGATGTTGAATAAGACCGGGCCCAAGACAGAACCCTGTGGCACCCCACTAGTCACTCTTCTCCAGGATGAAGAGGAACCATTGATGAGCACCCTTTGGGTTCGGTCAGTCAGCCAATTACAAATCCACTGAGTGGTAGCATAGTCAAGTCCGCATTTTACCAGCTTCTTTACAAGAATATCATGGGGCACCTTGTCGAATGCCTTGCTGAAATCAAGGTAGGCTACATCCACTGCGTTCCCTTCATCTACCAGGCTTGTAATTCTGTCAAAAAATGAGATCAGGTTAGTCTGACATGACTTATTTTTCAGAAATCCATGCTGACTATTGGTGATCACAGCATTCCTTTCTAGGTGCCCACAGACTGTTTGCTTAATGATCTGCTCCAGAATCTTCCCTGGTATTGATGTCAGACTGACTGGGCGGTAATTATTTGGGTCCCCTCTTTTCCCCTTTTTGAAAATAGGGACAACATTTGCCCTCCTCCAGTCTGCCGGGACTTCGCCTGTTCTCCAGGAATTCTCAAAGATGACTGCCAGTGGTTCTGAGATCACATCTGCCAGTTCTTTTAATACTCTTGGATGCAGTTCATCTGGCCCTGGAGACTTGAATACATCTAAACTAGCCAAGTATTCTTGTACTATCTCCTTAGTTATTCTGGGCTGTGTTTCCTCTGCTGAATCATTTGCTCCAAATTCTTCAGGTCGGGCATTGTTTTCTTTATCGGAGAAGACTGAGGCAAAGAAGGCATTGAGGAGTTCAGCCCTTTCTGTGTCCCCTGTTTGCATTTCACCATCTTCTCCTCTGAGTGACCCCACTGTTTCTTTGTTCTTCCTTTTGCTACGAACATACCCATAAAAGCCTTTTTTGTTGCTTTTAACCTCTCTAGCAAGCCTGAGTTCATTCTGTGCTTTAGCTTTTCTGACTTTGTGTCTACATGTGCTGGCTATTTGTTTGAATTCCTCTTTGGTGGTTTCCCCCCTTTTCCATTTTTTGTACACATCCTTTTTTAATCTTAACTCAGTTAAAAGTTCTTTAGATAGCCACCCTGGCTTCTTTAGGCACCTTCCATGTTTCCGTCTCATTGGTATTGCCTGAAGTTGTGCTTTTACTATCTCCCTCTTAACAAACTCCCAGCCATCATGAACTCCCTTTCCTTTTAGTATTACTGTCCATGGGATCTCACCCAGCACTTCCCTAGGTTTTATGAAGTCGGCTTTCTTAAAGTCAAGAAATTGAGTCCTAGTATGATATTGTATTTATTTGCATTACTTAGAGCTTTAACTACTGATGAAGCCCAGGACGGCGAAACAAGGCCAATATTCCGGAAATCCTTGTCTTAGACTCTGTGAAAGGATTTTATGGAACTGTAACAACCTTTCATGTGAATGGTTTGGACTTTATGAACAGACAGGTGGAATAGACACCATTACACGTACCATTACACGTACAAAATCCACACATATGTACATTAGTGACAGAGGTGACCTCTGCTCTTTTTAAGCAGCATTTGAACACAGTTTGGCATGGAGTCTACTAGTTTTGAACAGTCCCTGTAGATCAGGGGTCAGCAAACTTTTTCAGCACGGGGCTGGTCCACTGTCGCTCACACCTTGTGGGGGGGCCGGACTATATTTTGAAGAAATAAAAATGAACGAATTCCTATGCCCAACAAATAACCCAGAGATGCACTTTAAATAAATGGACACATTCTACTCATGTCAAAATATGCTGATTCCAGGACCGTTCTCGGGCTGGATTGAGAAGGCCAATGGGTCGGATTTGGCCAGCAGGCCTTAGTTTGCCTACCCATGATATAGGATATATTAGATTCTGCTGATATAGGACAGGCCTAGGTCAACTCGGCCCTTCAGATGTTTTGGCACTACAACGCCCATCCTACCTGACCACTGGTCCTGTTAGCTAGAGATGATGGGAGTTGTAGTCCCAAAACAGCTTGAGGGCTGAGTTGGCCGATGCCTGCTTGGTTGATATGTGGTTGATATAGGAAATGATAATTTTGCGGAGCAGGGAGTCATTGAGAACTAAGCTGTGAATTCTTGTACTCCAGGAGGAAGGAGTGGATTTGATGAACAGAGAAGCGGCGCATGAAAGGTAGGTGCAACTGAACTGCTGTTTTTTAAAAAAGCAGATACTGTGTTCTCTTGTCGCCACTGATGAGCCTTTTTGTGTTTTAGGGAAGTCCAAACAGCAATGCAGATAAGCCAATCATGGGAAGAAAGCTTGAGCCTGGTAATCCTTTTACAGATGTTTAATATTTTAATTCCACTCCCTGACTTAACCAGTGAGCTCAGAGTGGGGGATGGAGTGATTGGCCGTTCTCTTTTTCATCGGGATCTTTATGGCACAGCCTCTAGGGCTGCTGCGTCCCGTGAGGCTGTCAACATGACCCTTTTGTGTTCTCAGAGTGACAATGACTTGGACAAATCGGAAAAATCCTCGTCTCCAAAGAGGATAGACTTCATTCCCGTCTCTCCGGCACCTTCGCCTACGAGGGGGATTGGAAAGGTACGCCAGAGAGCTTCCTCAGTTTGGGAGTTGCAAGGGAAGCGGCAGTGTGGGAAGACTACAGGAACTAAATGATATACAGTGGTACCTTGGGTTACAAACACTTCGGGTTACAGACTCCGCTAACCCAGAAATAGTACCTCGGGTTAAGAACTTTGCTTCAGGATGAGAACAGAAATCGCGTGGCGCCAGCAAGAGGTCCCATTAGCTAAAGTGGTGCTTCAGGTTAAGAACGGACCTCCAGAACAAATTAAGTTCTTAACCAGAGGTACCACTTTATAGCGGGGCCTCAAATCTTTTGGACCGATAAGCTTATTAATAATTTTCAGAGAGGGCTGTGGGCACCAAGCCTTCTTGTTGCTTCTGTCCAGAAATGGAGAGATAAATATCCTTTACTTTCCCATGTAGTCAAGTTAAAAACAAAAACACCGTAGCATTAAAGCTTGCCTTGGTAAAAACCGTAGATTCCCTGCTCACTAACACCACAAAACCTTTGATCCAAAGCATGCAACCGAATGCTGAATGCTCAGAAGCTACATGGGCAGCTGAATTAAGATTTCCGGTGGTTTGGAGCCGGATTTAATGTCAAAGTAATTTGTGCCGGAAGGAGTACCACATAGCGTCATTTCAGATTCCTTGACTAGCAGGGGTGGAATAGTAAAATCCTGAGCACCAATTTTGAGAACCTGCTAGAGTATCACAGTGGTTTCTGATGACAGCACTTTTTAAGTGAGAAAAAAGCATCCGATGTTTGCAATATGTTTATAAAACTTTTTTTAATATCATAAAAAAAGGTAAAGGTACCCCTGCCCATACAGGCCAGTCTTGACAGACTCTGGGGTTGTGCGCCCATCTCACTCAAGAGGCCGGGGGCCAGCGCTGTCCGGAGACACTTCCGGGTCACATGGCCAGCGTGACATCGCTGCTCTGGCGAGCCAGAGCCGCACACGGAAACGCCGTTTACCTTCCCGCTAGTAAGCGGTCCCTATTTATCTACTTGCACCCGGGAGTGCTTTCGAACTGCTAGGTTGGCAGGCGCTGGGACCAAACAACGGGAGCGCACCCCGCCGCGGGGATTCGAACCGCCGACCTTTCGATCAGCAAGCCCTAGGCGCTGAGGCTTTTACCCACAGCGCCACCCGTGTCCTCTTTTAATATCATAATTTTTATTAATTTTTTGCAAACGTTTTAAACATAACATGCAATTTATATATAATATAGAAAGCATTTGGCTACAACAGCCTGAGACTTCCCTCCTCCTTGACTCATTGTTTCCCCACTTATTATCTAATATTGCATTTTGGAATTGAAATTATTACTGTGTTTTTCCATGTATAAGACTAGGTTTTTCCCCTAAAAAAAAATAATGTCAAAAATTTGGGGCGTCTTATACAAGTATACGTCTCGCCGCCATTTTCTTAAATCGGAGTCCTCAAAAATAGGGGGTGTCCTATTCATGGGGGTGTCTTATAGGCAGAAAGATATGGTACTATTAAATCTTAATCGTAAATCAACCATTTTTAAATTGCCGTATTTTTCTGTCTATAATATGCCCCCTATTTTTAGGAACCCTGATTTATGAAAAGGGGGGGGAGATGGCCCGTGTGTATAAGATGCCCCTCAGTTTTGGACATTATTTTTCAGGGGGAAACCCTAGTCTTATAGACAAAAAAATACAGTGGTACCTCTGGATGCGAACGGGATACGTTCCAGAGCCCCCTTTGCATCGTGAGCAGAACGCAACCCGCATCTGCAAGTGTGCGGGTTGCAATTTGCCACATTAGCGCATGCGTGTGACGTCATTCTGAGCATATGTACGAGCGGCGAAACCCGGAAGTAACCTGTTCCGTTACTTCCGGGTTGCCGCGGAACGCAGCCTGAAAAGATTTAACCCGAAGCGTCTTTAACCTGAGGTATGACTGTACTAAGAAATCCTAATCGTAAATCAACCATTTTTAAATTATACTTTGCAATAATGGATAAAGTCCACCTTGTAAAACTTCTTGCAACCCTACTAGCGAAGTTAGTTTTTTACAATTGTCTTTCAAGTATTCTGTAAGTTTATTCCAATCTTTCAGGAAAGTCTGGTCTTGCTGGTTCCGAGTTTTCCCTGCAAGTTTTGCCAGTTCACCATAGTCCATTAATTTCGTCAGCCCTTCTTCTTTCATTGGCATCTCATGTGCTTCCATCTCTGGGCTAATAATATTCTTGCTGCAGTTTTTGCAGATAAAAGCAGTCTTTTATATTGCTTATGTATTTCATTACCCACAATTCCTAGTAAGAAGGCTTCTGGGTTTTGTTTTTTTTTAAATAAATGTATATTTCAACATTTTTTTAAAACCACATACGGTTAAAAAGTAGCTTCCTTTTCTTTACGTTTCCAACAACGATTCATTGTTTTATACATTTTTAGCTAATTTCACTGGTGTTTATATGTTGATAAGACTTCTTTAAAACATCGTTTCAGGTACTTTTCAATCCTGTGCTTGTCTTTCCTAGCAATGCTTTTCTCCCTCCCTGCAAATGTTTGTGAGTAGTAATGGACTGCCTCCAAGCCCAATTCCCAGCCCCACAAGGAGATTTTCAAAGTAAGTCACTGTATCTGTGGAAGTGTTTCTTAATAATCAGTTTGACTTCTGTACTGTTAATTTATACTGTACATGAACTATGCCTGTGAATGGAATATATCAGGGTGCATAAAAACCATTGATTTTTTAAAAAAATCGGGATTCTTTTTTTATTTAAATCAGATTTTTAAAATAAAATGCTTTTGGAGGAAAAATCTTTCTAAAGATAGTTTTCTATTTAAGTGACATTCGAGTCCAAAGGCTATTCATCTGGAAATCAGGATTTGTTTAAAGTTTTCCTTTTTGGAAAATAATAAATTTTCAGAGTAGTTTTTACAGTTTTATCAAAAATTACTGATTTGGTCCTACTCTTAGAAATACATTGATTGACAGATAATTATGAAATTTGTTTCATAAACAAATTATGACAATTTATTTTAAGTTTTCATTTTTGGAAAATAATAAATTCCCAGTTTTTACAGTTCTATCCAAAATGACTGATTTGGTTCTACCAAATCAAGCTCTATCAGAGCTTGCAGGGCAGCAGCTGAAGGAGGAGCAAAAGGGTTTTCTTGTGTGTGGCGGCGCGCGCAGTTTGATCCATCTTTTAGATTTAGGGGAGCTAGTCTCAGACGTTTGTTGGGGGAGACCTAGGTTTTTTTGGGGGGTTATTTGTCCTGTCTTCACGCTTTTTAAGATGGAGGACCACTGTAGCCACCCCCAACGACACGTTTTCAAGATGGAGGGTGAGGGAACAGCTGCAGTTGCCTGCGGTTCCTGCGCAATGTTTGCCATCTTGCCAAAGGTTGCAGGCAGCTTTACCTGCAGCAATTGTATGTTGATTGCCCTCTTAGAAGACAAAGTCCAGCAACTGGAGGAACGTGTAGCTACGCTCCAAAGAATTAGAGAGCTGGAGCTCTTCTTGGAAGCAACAGAGAACACCGTCTCCACCAAGGAGGAGACAGGGGACACCCCTGAGAAGGAGGCTAGTTCACCAACACAGGTGCCAGATATATGGAGAAACGTGACTCAAAGAAGTAGGAGGCCCAGGGTTCGCTCTGATTGTTTAGAAATACACAATCGCTTTGAAGTCCTCTCCCCTAGCATGGAAGACGAAGAACAGACTCCATTTGAAGATCTCTCCCTCATTACAGTCGATCAGGTATATGAAGACGAGCAGCAAAGTCAGTCCTCAGGGAATGTGCAGGCGACCTTGGAACGGACAGCTCACGGAAGAACCCCGGCCAAACCTAAGAGGAGGCGTGTAGTGGTGATAGGGGATTCCCTACTGAGGGGAACAGAAGCAGTGATCTGTGGGCCTGACAAGATGTCTCGGGAGGTGTGCTGTCTCCCTGGGGCTAAGATCCAAGATGTAACTGAACGACTGCAAGGAATCATAAAACCCACTGACAAATACCCCTTCCTCTTGGTTCATGTGGGAACCAATGATACTGCAAGCAATAGCCTCCAGAAGATCAAAAGAGACTATGAGGCTCTGGGCAGGACATTGAAGCAATTAAATGCACAAATTGTCATCTCATCTGTCCTCCCAGTTGAACGACGTGGCCCAGGGAGAGAGGGAAAAATAGTTGAAGTGAACAGCTGGCTTCGCAAATGGTGTAAACAGGAACGGTTTGGATTCTTAGATCACAGACTGCAGTTTCTTGAAGATGGACTTCTGGCAAGCGATGGGCTGCACCTCACAACGGTTGGGAGGAATGTTTTTGCCAAAAATCTCAGAAACCTCATCAGGAAGGCTTTAAACTGACTAATGTGGGGGAGGGAGACAGTGCTCCTGAAGGTAGGAGTCTATCAATTGATGAAGATGATTATCCAAATGTCATAGACCAAATGGAGCAAACAGCACACAGACCTAGTGGCGGGAGGAAAAAATCCTTAAATAAGAGACACGGGGGAATGATTAATGGACTTCAGTGTCTGTACACTAATGCGCAAAGCATGGGAAATAAACAAGATGAGCTTGAGCTCTTGGTACAGCAAACTAAATATGACATAATAGGCATCACTGAAACCTGGTGGGATAAGTCCCACGATTGGAATGTAATAATGGAGGGATACAATCTGTTTCAGAGAAACAGACCAGACAAGAAAGGAGGAGGAGTGGTGTTATATGTCAGGGATGTGTATACCTGTGAAGAGATCCAAGATTTAGAACCTCAAAGCCAAAGTGAGAGCATTTGGGTCAAAATTAAGGGAGAGAAGAATAACAGAGACCTCATTGTGGGAGTTTACTATAGATCCCCAAGCCAAACGGAGGACATAGATGATGCCTTCCTGGAACAGATGGCCAAGCATGCAAAAGGAAGGGAGATAGTAGTAATGGGGGACTTCAATTACCCGGATATTTGTTGGATGTCAAACTCAGCCAAGAGCATAAGGTCAAACAGATTCCTCACTGGCCTTGCAGACAACTTCATTGTCCAGAAAGTGGGAGAAGCAACAAGAGGAACAGCCATTTTAGATCTGGTCCTAACCAATGTTGAGGACCTGGTTAGTGGGGTAGAAGTGGAAGGATCATTAGGCGCGAGTGATCATGCTCTTCTGAAGTTTACTATACAGCGGAAAGGAGCAGCCAAGCATACTAGGACTCAATTTCTTGACTTTAAGAAAGCCGACTTCATAAAACCTAGGGAAGTGCTGGGTGAGATCCCATGGACAGTAATACTAAAAGGAAAGGGAGTTCATGATGGCTGGGAGTTTGTTAAGAGGGAGATAGTAAAAGCAGAACTTCAGGCAATACCAATGAGACGGAAACATGGAAGGTGCCTAAAGAAGCCAGGGTGGCTATCTAAAGAACTTTTAACTGAGTTAAGATTAAAAAAGGATGTGTACAAAAAATGGAAAAGGGGGGAAACCACCAAAGAGGAATTCAAACAAATAGCCAGCACATGTAGGCACAAAGTCAGAAAAGCTAAAGCACAGAATGAACTCAGGCTTGCCAGGGAGATTAAAAGCAACAAAAAAGGCTTTTATGGGTATGTTCGTAGCAAAAGGAAGAACAAAGAAACAGTGGGGTCACTCAGAGGAGAAGATGGTGAAATGCAAACAGGGGACACAGAAAGGGCTGAACTCCTCAATGCCTTCTTTGCCTCAGTCTTCTCCGATAAAGAAAACAATGCCCGACCTGAAGAATTTGGAGCAAATGATTCAGCAGAGGAAACACAGCCCAGAATAACTAAGGAGATAGTACAAGAATACTTGGCTAGTCTAGATGTATTCAAGTCTCCAGGGCCAGATGAACTGCATCCAAGAGTATTAAAAGAACTGGCAGATGTGATTTCAGAACCACTGGCAGTCATCTTTGAGAATTCCTGGAGAACAGGCGAAGTCCCGGCAGACTGGAGGAGGGCAAATGTTGTCCCTATTTTCAAAAAGGGGAAAAGAGGGGACCCAAATAATTACCGCCCAGTCAGTCTGACATCAATACCAGGGAAGATTCTGGAGCAGATCATTAAGCAAACAGTCTGTGAGCACCTAGAAAGGAATGCTGTGATCACCAATAGTCAGCATGGATTTCTGAAAAATAAGTCATGTCAGACTAACCTGATCTCATTTTTTGACAGAATTACAAGCCTGGTAGATGAAGGGAACGCAGTGGATGTAGCCTACCTTGATTTCAGCAAGGCATTTGACAAGGTGCCCCATGATATTCTTGTAAAGAAGCTGGTAAAATGCGGTCTTGACTATGCTACCACTCAGTGGATTTGTAATTGGCTGACTGACCGAACCCAAAGGGTGCTCATCAATGGTTCCTCTTCATCCTGGAGAAGAGTGACTAGTGGGGTGCCACAGGGTTCTGTCTTGGGCCCGGTCTTATTCAACATCTTTATCAACGACTTGGATGATGGACTCAAGGGCATCCTGATCAAATTTGCAGATGACACCAAACTGGGGGGTGGGGGTGGCTAACACCCCAGAGGACAGGATCACACTTCAAAACGACCTTGACAGATTAGAGAACTGGGCCAAAACAAACAAGATGAACTTTAACAGGGAGAAATGTAAAGTATTGCACTTGGGCAAAAAAAAATGAGAGGCACAAATACAAGACACCTGGCTTGAGAGCAGTACATGTGAAAAGGATCTAGGAGTCTTGGTTGACCACAAACTTGACATGAGCCAACAGTGTGACGCGGCAGCTAAAAAAGCCAATGCAATTCTGGGCTGCATCAATAGGAGTATAGCATCTAGATCAAGGGAAGTAATAGTGCCACTGTATTCTGCTCTGGTCAGACCTCACCTGGAGTACTGTGTCCAGTTCTGGGCACCACAGTTCAAGAAGGACACTGACAAACTGGAACGGGTCCAGAGGAGGGCAACCAAAATGGCCAAAGGCCTGGAAATGATGCCTTATGAGGAACGGCTAAGGGAGTTCGGCATGTTTAGCCTCGAGAAGAGGAGGTTAAGGGGTGATATGATAGCCATGTTCAAATATATAAAAGGATGTCACATAGAGGAGGGAGAAAGGTTGTTTTCTGCTGCTCCAGAGAAGCGGACACGGAGCAATGGATCCAAACTACAAGAAAGAAGATTCCACCTAAACATTAGGAAGAACTTCCTGACAGTAAGAGCTGTTCGACAGTGGAATTTGCTGCCAAGGAGTGTGGTGGAGTCTCCTTCTTTGGAGGTCTTTAAGCAGAGGCTTGACAACCATATGTCAGGAGTGCTCTGATGGTGTTTCCTGCTTGGCAGGGGGTTGGACTCGATGGCCCTTGTGGTCTATTCCAACTCTATGATTCTCTGATTCTACTATTAAAAATACATTGATTGACAATTATGAAATTATTGTGAGGTTTAATAACTTAACTGTTTCTATAATAATAATAATAATAATAATAATAATCTTTATTATGTTATGTGGTCCAACGACCCATAAAATGGGTTCAAAATAAAATAGATTCATACAGACAACCCCCAGAGAAGGGAGACCGAAGCGTTATTTGTTTAGTCATGGGTATGTTGATCTTTGATTTGTATGACTACTGAAAGAACCTTTGCCA